TTGTTTTCCTGAAACGAGGCTGAAAAACAACTCGGCTAATTCGCTGGACAATTTGTTGCCGTCTGTCTGCGAAGAAATATGACACATTCGGCAAGAATTTTGGCAAAACATTTATAGCTGCTGTTTTCTTTATATACCGGTTTAGCTTTTAACGATTTGATATTTCTGTTTCCAAATTTGACCAGATTTTACGGTCAACATGCAAACGAAAAGTTATTAAATAGGTAGGGAGGTAAAAAAGCGTTCATCATTTAGACTATAAGATTAACGATAATACTTTTTACAAAACTTCTGGATTCCTCCTGCGTCTCTTTTTGCTGAGTTGAACTTGCTGCCGTTTCGCCAACATCCTGTTGACTTCTTCAGGGCTTCACTGAAACTGGCTCGTATTTAAGTCTGCACCTGCTTATGTATTGTTTGAGGGGGCGGAGCTAAATGTGGGGCATAAACACCGTCTCGGATGACTGATTTCCATATTGGTGACAGGTAGAAACCTGAGTCGCGGTTAAGATTGTTAGGTTGTTTATAGATTTCTATAGACCCTCGGATTTTTCGTTGGTAGATTACGGTAGATCGGATTTTAGTTTTATCGAATAAAATTTTATGACCGGTTTCATGAGTGCGTTCGGCAACAACTGAGGGGTCTTAGTCGTGTTTATGCCCCTCATTTAGGTCCGCCATCCTCAAACAATATATAAGCAGGTACAGAGTAAAATACGACCCAGTTTCAGTCAAGCTCCGAAGAAGCCAACAGAATGATGGGCGAAACGTCAGCAAGTTCAACTCAGCAAAAACAGACGCAGGAGTATTAGTAGCATGGAAGTTTCTTTGAAAGATTAACGATAATGTTTTACAATGTTCTGAACACGTGACGTATTTATGAACAGGTTTTTCTGTTATCTTAAGTTGGGACCACCAAATAAATAGGAAGATTAGGTTCTTATTTTTGTAATGAGATACCTAAGGTAAGCCAGATTTGAGGCAAGAGTGGGGCGATTAGATCCATCCTTGAGAATTGTAGTGCTGTTTGGCTAGACAGTGTGGTCTCTCCAATGAAATCGAAATGGTCCAGAGAAAGCCGCCAGGTGGTCTTCTTCGGGTATAGTAGAAATTTTACTTTCACATTAACCATGAGGGGATTTTGTTGGGAGTCACTTTGATCCCGTAGGGCGTATTTTATAAAATTATAAAGATATTTAATGGCTTCCAATGTTATCTTGGAATCAGGGAGACATTTGTGCAGTGAACTTTGAATGTCTTCTTACCAAAGATAAGTCCTCGAGCATATCAATGCCTAAGATAAGTAAGTTTTCTTCTGCATTTAACACACAGATTTACAACTATCTTATACCCTCTTGGAAAATCGGACGAGAAGGTTAACTAGATGGCACCGATAATTCCAAATCGACGAGTAATTTTTGGATCGGTTCTTTCAATAAAATTCTTCGTGATACTTATTTGTGATTATTGAAATTTTCACTTCCAAGGTTTATCCTATTTCAATTTAGTTTTATTTTTGGAGAGTTCTTAATAAAGATCGCAACCCTGGCAATGAAAAAAAGAAATGTATTTTATTTTTCAGTTAGCGTTGACTGATGATTCTCTTGCCTTATACCTACAAATATGGGGAGAGTTAAGTATATTTTTTTAATGGTTAATGTTGTTTTATAGCTTATTTTAAAGCAAAATGGCCTGTCAATGATTAAACTGTAACTGATTCAGAGTACACTACATTCTATCAGACTGTTCCGAGTGCTTACGGTGATTCGCCATATTATTTTTTTATCTCAAATGTTTATTGTTCTCTTCCATAAGCATCCCGGTACACGTAACGTGATTAATCGCCGTCCGTACTCGGCTATAGAGTAAAAGACGCGCCAAGTAGAAAAGCCATTAAACGAAATTGTAATTTCCTGCCTGCCCAATTTCCCAAGTAATAACGCTCCGCGAATAATCGTTTAATACGCTTTTAAAGTGCTTCGGAAATTTCAAAACAAAACTACGCATCGAGAAAATATTTGTACGCTCGTCTCTATTTACGTGACGGGAACAGACGAAAGCATCACGACCGTCCGTCATTCTGGCGGATAATGTTCGTCAAACGTGACGCTGTTTGATTTTATTTTTATGTTTAACGCTGGATATTTCGGCGATTGCAATTCGATAGATGAACGTCAACGGATTTCGTATAGGTACTTCTATGGTGTTGAATGAGGGGCGCCGACACTCCGCGGGGCCATCGAGCATGAATACCTGCGGAGGATACAGGCCATTCCGACCACACCTTCTGTATCTATCGTAGTGAATAGTTTCAGTTTTCTATGATTTTTAATTATGAGAGACTATTTCACAGAGTTCGTAATCTTTTATCAGTAATATTCAATTATTGCCTTGTAACTATTAAAATTGGAAAGGTAATAAAAATTTAAGGCAGTTCTTTGAAAATCAAAATACAATCTACAAATAGTAATAGTCCCAATGCGTTTTCAGTACAGTAGTTGTCTTAAAAGTGTCTGAATATTTTGTTTCCCACATTCCGAATTTGGTCTCAATCATATTGATACTAGAATCCGGAGGAAACGTGCCAAATTTTTTAAGAGGTCCAATAGGAAAAAAAGCCATTTAAGAATAGCAAAAAAACGAGGCTCTATCTTCTATCTGCATCTTTGTAGTCCATGGACTCGTTGGTTAGCTTAGCGTTAGTTTGTCAGAAAACTCGAAGTTTTACTTATCGAATATCATCATCGTTTTGTGACGACTTTGTTTTTATTTCTGCTCTGAATTGAAATTCCAATATACATTCCGTTATGATTTAGATTTAAATTTTGCACCAAAACAAACCTGTAGAAACCACCAGCAGTTAAGTCCTTGGCTACAATATCTTCTGCTAAATAATATCAGCGGGATGTTTATTTTAACTCTACTTCTTGGGTTGCACACAAAGGATAACTCACTGTCCTTTATTTTACAAAAATAAACGAAAAGTTACTATCCTACAACAGAATAAAGTTCAACATCCAGGTGAGTTTTGATTATGTTTTATAGTATATTATGCAACAAGTGCGATAAACGGCATTTGACTCACGAGTTTATTTGACACGAGTGTTTAACAAACGACTGACTCAAAAAGTTTACGGAACGTATTGCATACTATACTTTTTCTACGACCGTTAGTTTTTGGGTACAATTTCGCAAAACAACACGAACACTTTCAATGACATCACAGTCAGAATTGACAATCGTCAACATTCAAAGCGCTTCCCGCACGCTAGATCGGTGTGTAATTAGGTATTTTACAGACGGGAGTATAAAGAAAATATTGTTTTCCAAAATATATTTTCAATATATATCTAATATATATAATATTATCCATATTATGCCCCCATTGATGGGAATAGCTGCGGCAAATTGAACTGAGCCTTCGCCAAATGAGTAACCAGGATCAGTGGATTTCAATGTTTTATTCGTTCATGTTGACCTCGTAGGTCAGGACTCTCAATTACGCCAGCCGTGAAGAAGAAAACCCTGGACTAGGTTCTTTACTATAAGATTTGTCACTTTTTTTCAACAGTAGAGTTTTCGTTTTTGTTTCCTACTATTTATTTGTATGTTTTGATGTTATTTTTCTTATTTAGTTAAAAATTGATGTTTTGAATAAAAATCATTTATCAATAAATAAAACTATCGTTTCTTAAAAACGTTTCCCCGCAGCGCAAAATAACAAGAGTTATAGGCACTGGAATAAAACAGCCAGTGTCGCGTGACGTCAGACGCTGTGACACGTGGAACGACTGTCTATCGTTTTTTAATTTCTGTATGATGCCAATCAATCCTAAAGTAAATAGACACACCCAAAAGCAATAACATAGGTAAATAATACTTCAGTTTATAGGTTTATGGGGCATTTTAATTTATTATTTTAATTACAAAACGCTGATTGAATAGTGCAACATTGATAAATAATCACGAACTCTGTTAAATACTCTCTATTAATTAACAATAAGCAAAGACTGAAACACCCACAAAAATTCATAAGACAAATCTATTTGTTTGGGTCCTCAAACAAAAAGGCCCTGTATATATAACCTGTAGTAATATATGCGTTTTTGATCAAACTTGATTTTTAGGTCAAATTACCTACACTATAGCAAATCAGCTCACAACTGGGAGCAAATACCTAAACAAAACTAATCAAAAACGAGTATTTCTTCAGCCAAAGGTTTATCCTATGTGAAAATGTTCGTAATTTTGGTCAGTAATGTGGCTTGATAAAGATCACGATAGGGACAAAACACGTGGTCCGAATGGCATATGTCCTTTACATGTAATACTTTGTAAACACGCCCCCCGAAAACAGACAAAATTGGATCGGTTTATGAATGATGAATTATTTAGTGGTGCATCTGAACAGACAAATATACAAATTAATTGAACCTTGATAGCGCTGATAAATTAATAGATAGATCCTGTAATTTGTCAAAATATATTTGCACTGGGAAACAATTGGTAATATTTCTATCGATTTCAATGAAACACAATACGTAATATATTTAAAAATACAGTTTTTACTACTAAAGCTGAAGTTATATACCGGAAAAAAAAAGTTTTGAAATAGGTTATATTAAAAGACAAACAACTTAATATAATAAACGTTTGTAATAATTCATTTTGATGCTGTTAAAATCTTTAGCGAATCGTGTATTAAAATAATAAAACCGTTTAAAAGAGAACCAACCATTTTCCCATATCCTAAATATAACCTGGACGCGGTGCTAGTCAAAATGTTGGCAACGTTTAAAAAATGCAAATATTAATTCCAAATGCCAAAGTATTGGCTAAGCCAGTGCATAAGTATACAATTGCGATCAATATTTGAACCATGGAGAAAATACATTAAATAACGATGAACCCAAGCTGGAAGACGAGAGGATGGAAAAATAAACGCCAAAAAAACGCGATTGGATAAAAAAACAGAAATATTAAAATATATAGGTACTTACTTTTCAGTTCTTGTGAGTTTCTTAGCCGATACGAAATTCTGGAACGGAAAAAAAGGCACGTTAATTATTTCTGCACGCGAATGGCACGTGAGGCTTCGGAAAGCTTGAGGAGCGTGGCTTAGCCCTGACAAGCACTCAGGAGCATCCGCAAGAAACTAATCACAGGTAAAAATCTGGGTGATGCATATTCATGACGTTGGCGCATTATAATAATTGCGCACAATAAATATGATAAAATCCGTGTGATTTTTTCGATAAGCAGAACATATTTACACAGTCCCGACTTTGACCTTGACGAATCTCTCTCCGCACTGGAGCAAACATGAAAATTTATTGTACAAACATAATTACTATTATGTATTGTTACATACCACAAATTATCAATAAAAACACGTAACCTGTTGCGCCACCATTTTTGATTTTGAGCTTCGCGGCTATTCGGAATGGGTGATACGATATGACGACATTTTTGTCGGCTTGTTATCAACTGCGGGATCGTATGGATTAAAGTATCTATACAAACGCTCGGTGCTCCAAGAAAATGGCACCGCAATATAATAAATCCAAATTCGGTATTAATTACGAATTATAATCAATTTGCCTAAAAATGAGTATTTAAAAAAAAAAGAAATTTTATTTGGCATTAGGACGTGTTAAGATTGCTATTTTATTTCTGTTTTTTTGGGCTACGTTTGTGTTTTATCAAGTGACTTACCCAACAAAGAGAAAGTTAAGTAAAGACGGGAAATAGGGAAGAATTGATCCGAGGACATCATAACAGGAGCATAAGGAGTAGCCCTGTTGGAGCGAAAAAGGGATCAATGTAAATATTTTGTTGGCGTATTTTCAACATTTAAAAAAATGGGTGCCATTTTCACTGATCAAAGTACTTATGCTTCTATCAACTCTGAACCTGTAAAAAAATGGATATTTTCAAATGGGAAGAATTTTTGAAAATTTTAAAAAGTTAATCCCAAGTTTACCATTAAAAACCTTCGAAATACTTGTAATTCTACTAACAACGAGTAAATTTAACATTAAAAAAGAGCAGGAAGTTGCTTGACACAATCTGAAAGCACACAAGGATCCAGAATACGGAGTAGAGAAAATAATTTATTACATACAGGCATTTAAATGAAACAATATTGCTTGAAATCGCGCAAAAAATTGTCCTCCATAACATTCAAGGAAGTTATCAGCTTACTGTTATTTCAAAGCGACCGATAAAATTTGCGACATCGCATTACAGAATTTATTATCTCAGATTAGGTATGTGGAAAATTTTTGCTCGATTTTTATTTTGCGCAATATATTCAGGAGCACATCTCGAACATAAAATTTTAAAACAGTTTTTTTTTTAAATTTTTTCGACCGCAGAATTGAAAAGTAATTAAGAAAATAAATAATAATAATCTTGCTAGAAGTGTCTCTGAGGCAAATCGATGCTTTTTCTTGCACATATCGTGAATCGAAGGAAATAATTACATTTAAAAACTTTTTGAGTTAAAACAAACTGAAGTGATTTATATAGGTTTTTTATTTCATTTTATATTTTTATATTTTCAACAAATCTAAACAAGAACTTGTCTGTCAAATCAAATCAAAAGGAAAAGTTCATTCTTTCCTGGTGCCTATTTATGCCCAGTCAATAAAAACTGTCATCAACAAGAAACATCATGGTTTAGTATTGTAATATTATTTTTCCACAACTTATAAGGGGAAGATTTCTTATGAATTATATATGACCTCCTATTAATTTATGAGCAATGATCCACGCCCTTAATAATAATTCAATATTCTGAATTCTACGTTCACGTCGCGGCTGTTGGTTTCTTCAGGGTTTTCTGTACACGAGCCCAATAGTATATCATTGTTTAGAAAACAAAATAAGCTATGATGGATCGTTTATAATTGCTGAATTGATTATGGTCCCTAAAAAATGTTCGAAGCAAGCAAAACAAAACAACTCTACGCAGAATTAAGACGACAAAATCGGATTTCTCACGGCGCTTTAACGTCGTTCCTACTACGGCTGCTACGCAACTCGTAGCGTAAAATTGGACGATTTCTGCGGATAGCACGGTAAGATCTATTATTTCATACTTTCAAAACGGGTTTTTATATTGTCTATAATGTTTTACGGCAACTGTTTTGTAAGTACGTAAATTACGTAAAATATTCCACTAGAGATTTGTTTGCTATTAAAATTGTTTACCCACAATCAAAAATCTTATTAAATTAATAGATAATTTGAAGTACTTTATACGGCATTTTTTGAAATACCCAGTGTAAAACCAGCTCGCCGTGATTTGGATGGTGCAAAAATACGCAGCAACCGACAGTAACTTCAATGTTGCCGTACCGGGTAGACCATTTATTATGGGAAGACACATTGATTAAGACCGCGAATGTACAAAAATGCTTGAAAGTCTCATTTTCGAGCAAATAAGAAAAACGCATTTTTGAAAAGAAACACCTTGCATATTGTTTTAATTCAATGTTTGAAAATTTTTCATAGAAGATAACTATACTGGTATTTGGTTAATTTGTATTTTAAGGCAGAGTTTTATTTAATTAATAAATTCGTAATAATTCGGTTAAATTTAATTTAAGGCCAATAGTATTCATAACACCGTAAAAACGTGCTGGATATATTTCCTTTGAACTTTTGAGGCATTTAAACGACATCTAATACGGCATTCATCTTGTTAATGTATATAATTCTTAGTCGTATTATTCCTTGTAACGAATAACTTGAACTAGTCCACTTGTGTGTCTTTGTGATATTAAATAGATAAATAAATAAACAATTTTTTTTTCTTGTTTATTCGGAAATTAGATATTCAATTGCAATCGCAATCTTAATTAGTATTAAAAATACTATCTGCTTTGCTAATATAACCGATTTCGAATCTTTAATAATAAAAAATTTAGAAATAGTGGTAAGGCTCACCGTTTCTGATATATTATGAACTTTATGTTCGATAGCTCGGACTGAAACCGTCTGTTATACATTTGGCGTTGATTTCCTTATGCTTTAGGGGTCTGTGTTGCTTTTTGAAAATAAATAAATATACAAAAATTTAAGTTACAAATCTTCATAATTTAACGATTTAAATAAGTACTATTGGTTTTATAAGGAAATCGATTCGCCTTAATATAGGTGAAAGTTGTTACTTTCATACAAGCATCCTTCATATATATAACAATATAATATTAAGCATAGGAATCCAAAAAATATTTGTCCAACTTTCTTTGATATTTTTTATATTTCTGAGAGTAAGGTGTCATCACATAATGAACAGACCAGCCGGTATACAATACTAAGATTATTTCTCAACGTGCAGAATACGCACGTGCCGCATATATGAATTCAATGTCAAAAACCACGGACACTCTACCAATGGTTTCGCAAAGCTAGACGCAAACATTTATCAAACTTGTGAGGGGAATGAATATGAAATGAAAACCAATTTTTTTAATTCAATTGGCGTCAATCGCACGACATGCGCCAACGGACAGTAGCAGGCACCAGTCTGAAATTATACAAATACAAATAGTGTAACAGTATCGAGTTCACAGATGCAGTATGAAAAATCGAGGCAGGAGAATCAATTGTGCAAATTACAGTTTTGGAAATAGCTTGGTTACACTTGCGCTGTCAGAGTTTATCGGCGAATGGGATAACAATATTTTTATACCTACCTATTACCTATTACTTGCACTTTCAAAGCATGTTCTAATTACTATTTGTTCTATATTATTTGCGATTGTTCTGCTTTTTCTATATGTTTAACAGAGTTTGTCCAACTTTGTGGAGGAATGTTAAAAACTTCGGTTTCTATAAGTTTGAGGACATTGGAATTAACACGGGGAAAAACATTGTTACGACGAATGGCAGATATCAGTTGGTGCCAAACATGTTCAATGGGATTAAATATACAGTGGCAAAGTGGAGCCTTAAAACTGCATGCCCTAGATATTTTGCATAATTATCACAGACGTATTCCTTTTGTAGGTTTAAGCTTTGTAGAACCTCAATTAATTGCGGACCACAATTTTACCTGAATTTAAATTCCGAAACTTTAGGTAATAATCTTGTTGCATTGTATGTTAATGACCACTCTTGCATAATCCCATTCAAAAGCAATTGGTCACTTTCTTATATTTATGAATAGACCATACCAACATCGCGTCAAGTATAATTTTATTTTCAAGATTTGAAACCACAAAATGGTTTGTCGGTGATGTAACTTAGTACAGAGGTAAGTTAATCGGCATAGTTGTCTCCTCCTGTAGGCCATTAATTTATGTATATTTATGTATTTCTGTACACAAGGCATTTGGAATAGTTATTATAAGCGAAAAAACTGTCTTTCGGATTGATAATAATTATCTCCCATGGGCCTTTAGTTAACACGATTTTAATAATATTATTTTCCGAAGAATGAGACTTTTCGCAACAATTTATTTATCACAATGTCTAACATTGCTTTAAAAAATAATAATTTCGTAATAAACGAAACCAAGTTTTAAAAGACATTCAGAAGATGCATTAATTCTTAAAAACGTCTAAAAGCAGATTTAGATAGAACTCAAAGCCAGGAACGATTTAACAGTTGCGTTTCCTCATCAGGGACTTTTAATCTAATCCCGTTGTGCTAATGATCCACTATCCACTGCCAGAAGCTACGAATTCATTTCGTAGTGGTCATAGTTTTTTTTTTAATTCTTAATTTCATTTTTTTACAAGGTTACAAAAATTTTATTTTTTTGAAAATAAACCCAAATTTCCATTTTTTTGTAATTCTTTCTCATTAGCAACTTACGTTGTGTACTAACTTTTCAAAACATCCTGTATAATAACGTCCCATTAGCGCGAGTAATGCAATAATCTCAAAAACCTGCCAAAGTAACCAAAACTAACGCTGCAGTTTTGGCACGCGCATTATTTACTTACTACTGCACAATAACGACTATAATCCATATTACATTTTGACGTTTGTGTTGGTTAAATTTTGTGGGCGGATATGCACGG